TCAAACTAAAACCTTTACCCAGCTCCTGTCAATCATAACCTCATAGGGGGCGTGGCTTGTCTGGTTCAGTTGTGAGTGCCTCACAGAGACCTCAGACAGAAGGACTCTTTCTCTTCTCTCCCCTCATCCTCACCAAATTCCCCCACCTTGCTTTCTGTAAACTTCATTTCTCCCAGAGGTCTACAAATCATCAATATAAGTGATTTCTTTGAAATGTGGTTAGAAATGAGAACACAATGCAAATCTTGGAAAATTCTATCTTTCGGCCAATACACTGACAGCTGCTATTCCTGTTTCCAAGGGCTGCTGTCAGCTCGTCACGATAAGCACTTTTTCCACACATTCTATCACACCTGCAGCAAGCTGTCTCACTGATTGTCATAACTGAAGGACAGCATGTCAGGAGAAGTCCATCAACCTCCTGATGACTTTGTCAGTACTCAGACAGAATATTTTGTTTTTCTTGTCAGGTTGGTAATATGCTACTTCCTGTAACTTTGTGGAATGACAACATAGCACAATAGATGTTCATGAAGTGGAACGCAGAACAGAAGGGACAAGGGATGTTGTAGTGGTATCTTTCCTTGGCACTAGTTCACTGGCAAGGCAAGATGCCACTACAGAATGTTCCTTAGAAAAGTAATGTCCAGTCCCTGTGTAGCTTTGGAGCCTCTTGGGACTTGCTCTGTAGATCAGGCTGGCTTCGAACTCACAGAGATCCACCTGCCTCTGTCTCCCGGGTGTTGGAACTAAAGGTGTATGCCACCACTACTTGACTTTGGTGTCCAATCTTAAAGACCAAAGAAGAAGGCTCTTCAGCCACCTATAGGCCTGCCTGGTGGCAGCCTCAGCAGATGCCTAGCTGTGGTCTCTCTGTCCTAGGAGGCCGAGGGAAGTTAAAGCCATGCTGCTTTGAGTCAATAGTTTTGGAGAAAAGTTTCACTTTGGTGACTGGCTTATATATTGCCACTTCCTGGGCCTTTGGATGCCCACAAGAGCCATCTGCAGAGCAGCCATACACACAGAGGTTAGGCTGTCCAGCTGGGCTCCCCTCCGTGCCAGAAGCCAATGCCGAATCCCTAAGAGAAGGAGAGGTCTTCCCAATTACTCAGAGCTACGGATCATCCTTATTCAAAACATAGGACAAAGGATGGGTATGAGTGTTTAGAAGCTTTAGCTGGAGCCCAGTGCTAGGTCTAGCCCTGGCTGACATGTTGGCCTGGAGCCACTCCTGTACCTGGTCAGCCTAGGGGGCTGCCACAGAGTGACCACATGGCTCTGCTTCCACCTAATGTTCTCTGCCTCTGGGTTCTAGGAAGCACACATGCAGTCAGACTTGCCTGGATGTCCCTCCAGGTACCTGCTCCTCATGTGATAGTGTACCTTGAGTAGGACCCCTGGGCACTGAACTTTTGGTCAAAGGCTCTCTCTAAGTTTGCCAGTGGCTGCAGCTGGCAGAGTTGGGGGAAACTTGACACTGAGATTCAGCACATCTAGTCAGACCTCAGCTTTGCTCTCTGTTGCTATTTACCCACCTCCCCCCCCCCAGTGCCTTCCACCAAATCTTCCTCCCACAGCATCCAGCTCCCCATCAGCACTCAGTGCCAGTCAGTGTGCCAGAGGCTCACCTCTTCCAACAGTCGACCTTGCTAGCCTCCACTCCAGAAACTCCCTGTTCCACCTGTGCCTTCCAGCTTGGATCCTGATCCCTGGTCACCAGCATTTGCAAGTTGACACCAACGGCCAAATGATTTGCCCCTCTGAGTGGTGGTTCTGTTCACAGGAATTTAGCTGCAGTGGAGATGTATCTATTCAACTACCGTAGGCCTCACCTGGTTGCATCTCTGGGAGAAATCCAGGTGTGAACTCTGCTGCCCTCCCCATGGCCCTCTGTGGACAGCAGAGACTACATCCCTGTGTAGGCCCTGCTTAACAAGGAAGTGCTGGTCCCATAGCCTGTGGCTCTTTTCTTTCTCCTCCTAGTTGCTCTCTCAGATTCCAAATTTGATGGGCCTGTGTCAGCTGCCACCCTCAACGTCACTTTATGTTTCCATGGAAATAAATTGTCAGAGTTATAATCTCTTCCTCATAAACAAGTTAACCAGAAAGAACCGGAGGGTGCTTTTTTTTTTTTTTTTTAATTCTTTTAACTTCTATTGATTCTTTGTGGGCTCCACATCATGCGTTCTGATCCCACTCATCTCCCCATCCCCTCGAATTTGCCCTCTGCCCTTGCAGTTCCCACATCCAAACAAAACAAAATTTAAAAGAAAAACCAATGAGACAGGTGAGAGAGAGAGAGAGAGAGAGGGCCATGGAAGTAGTGTGGTGGTGTGACAGGTTGAGTCACACAGTTTACTCTTTGGTCCATTCATCTTTTACTTACAAGTGTTCATTGCCATGAGTCATTGGTCTGGCTCATGGCCTCTGGCTGAGTCTGCTTTAAAGACTGCAAGGCTATGTGAGACAATCCAGACTGGACATGAATTATGGAGCAGACCTTGGAGGGGACAGTGCACCAAAGAGTGCTGCACGTTGAGGGCTTACTCTGACCTCTGCGTGTCCTTTAGGTCATACGGTGACATCAAAACCCATATCAGAACTAAACATTAAATAAACCTGTGGGCAAGCAGGGACACAGAGAGGAGGGGAATCTCCCCCCAGACAGGCCTCCAGTGAGCACCCTGAGATTTACAATGGTGATTAGCCTACACCAGGGGTGCATTCATCAACTGTAAAGCTCTCTGCCTGCTGTATCTCTCATCACAGAGAGACTGGCAGAGGTCAGCCCAACCCTTCTACTGTGGTCTTGGAAAGAAAATTTATTACTTCCTCGGAGACCCCAAAATGAAAGATGGCAGATGGAGCTATTAATTTAATGACTTCACCAAAGAAAGCATGAAAAATTCAGTTCTGCTCAGCGCTGACAGCAAAGTGGTACTTGCTTGGGAGCTGAGAAGCCCTGGGATAGAGCCCAGGATTCCCTTAGACTCAGAGGAGAATGTCCAGGCTCTTTATTTCACTAATGGTCAAACACACTTTAGTAAACATTTAAGGTACTCAGCATATTCTTTTAAAGATGCTTTTATTGTATTGTGTGGATATTTTGTCTGTACCTATGTCTGTGTATCACATTTGTCTATGGTGCCTGCAGAAGCCAGTTGAGGTTGTTGGATCCTTTGAAACTGGAGTTACAGATAGTTGTGAGTTGCTGTGTCAGAGCTGGGGCTGGAACATGGTTCCTTTTGAAAAGCTGCCAGTGCTCTTAACCCCCAAGTCACATCTCTAGCACTATAGTCAATATTTTTGTACTAATTCCAATAGGAACAGAGCAAGCTGGAACAAAGAGACTGTCCCTTGACTGTTCCTGCCCTGTGCCCTTCAGCATTGAGTGCATATTTCAGGACTGCCTTCCTTCTCTCCACTCTCTTTGCATTTGTGGCTGGGGCTGAGCTGACATGAAGCCAAGGACATCCTTAGTCTTCAGGTCTCTGCATCTCTGGGTTCCATCATATGGGAGCCCTTGCTCCATTGCAGCCTGCTACTGACTTCTGTCCCCAGTAGCACTGGCAGGCAGAGTCTGGCAGAGTTCTGCCCAGTGGTAGCTCAAGATGGCCCTCCTCAGGCCACATGGGCCTGCACTGTCTCATCAGCATAGCAAGTTAGGCTGTAAGCACTGTTCAGGCTTCTGGAAACGACCCCAGCACACACCCCGTGTGTCTTCTTTGCTCCCTCTTGAAGTCGGTGACCCCTCTGTATGGCTAGTAACATGGATATATTGAAGCAAGGCCTTTAGATTATTTTTCTTTTTCTGTTTTTGTTTGAGACAGGGTCTCACTATGTATGTAGTCTTGGCTGTCCTAGGGCTCCATCTGTAAACAAAGCTGGTCTTAAATTTATAGAGATCTTCTTGTTTCTGCCTTCTGAGTGCTGGGATTAAAGGTGTGTAATACCACACCTACAGTAGTTTGTTTCATTTTTTAGTTTGTTTAGTTGGGTTTTTTTTGGTTTGTTTTGGTTTTTGAAGACAGGATTTTTCTACGTAACAGTTCTGACTGCCTGAAACTCACTTTGTAGGCCAGGATGGCTTTGAATTCACATAGCTCTGCCTGCCTCTGTCTCCTGAGTTCTGGGATTAAAGGCCTGTACCACCACTGCCTGACAAGGAGTTTTATCTTAAAATAAGTTAAAAAAAAAAAAAAAAAACTACAGAAGACAGTGGGTAAATGTTGGCCATTGTGGTCCTACAGAGTCCCTGAACCTTTGCTGGCAGCGGATGAGGCAATGGGAGGAGTCAGGGGGATAAATTAAAGCAGGACTCTTATGTAGATGTCAGGGGGATAAATTAAAGCAGGACTCTTATGTAGATAGTTCTAGGCTGTGTCTGATACTCTTGACTAGAAGCTGGTACAGAATTGCCCCATGGGATGTGGGCAGGATGGGCAGCAGGCTTTGCAGGGTACGGAGACCTAGAAGGCACAGAAGTTAGTGAAGTAACATTAGGACCCATGGCTCCTTCCATCTAGACCAATAGTTCTCAGCCTGTGGGTCATGACCCTTTTAATGGTGGAACATATCAGTTATGCAGAAGCAAGGAAATAATTTAGTGGTTGGGGGTCACCACAAAATGAGGAACTGTATTAAAGGGTCACTGCATAGAAAAGTTGAGAACCACTGATCTAGACAAGGCCTGAAGAGTCCTTGCCACATGTTGAGTACACCATCCACAATAGCTCCCTAACTCAAGACATATGAAACTCTAGAGTTGCACACCAATCTCTTCTTAAAGGAGCCAAGAATCAGTATGGCCAATGCATGGAGTCCCTGTCTGAAGAAGGCACTCAACATCCTCAGCTCTGGGATGAGAGTGGAAGAGGTGTCGGTCATGCCCCCTCCCCAACACCAAGGCCCTGAGCTCTAGGCTGGAGGCCATGGCTGAGGGGCTCCTGTAGCAGCTAGCCATATACAATCTGCTCACTGGGCGTGTGCTTTTCCTCTAGGTGAATGAGAAAATGTAGCGGAGTAATACCTGCCAAGAGCTTGGCGTGGATACCCTGGCCCAGACGGAGCAGCTGCCCCTGGGCGTCTTTGTGGCCATCCAGCCTCACCATGTCAAAGAAGGGCGCGGGCAGCCGGGCCAAGGGGGACAAAGCAGAGGCACTCGCCGCACTGCAGGCTGCCAACGAGGAGCTGCGAGCCAAGCTCACGGATATCCAGATTGAGCTACAGCAGGAGAAAAGCAAGGTGGGCACTTAAGCCTCTGCTCCAGGTACTTTGGCCTAGGTCACCTGCCCTAAGCTCCTGCCCCTGAAGCCAAATGGTCTTGTATAAACGAGAATGTGGCCAGGTCTCTGCAAGGGTACTCCCTTCTTTGTCCTGGTGGGTATCTTTGGGGAAGAGAATGGCAGGTGGAGAGAGGTGGGAGTCCAGAATTCAGTGGGAGTACATGTAGGGACCCCTAACCAATGGGACATCCCTCCCACAGAGGCAGTGTGCTGTGGGTCCTCAAGGGCCTTGTCAAATGGCATAGCCCTGGGGCCAACACTGAGTTTCCCCTGAAGCATTCATAGTGAATTTGAACTAAACTAAATTTACATAAACTCAGAATTCCACAACTGGTTTGTAAAGCCAGAGCTGGCTGTGCATTGAAAAGTAACTACCCTCTGTGTGCATGCAGGAAAAGATGGGCCAGAAGCTGAGAGCTTCTTACTGTGGCCGAGCCACACTTGTGACCAAGCTTGTGACCTTAGACGTTTCTTTCGCTTGCCCTCCTCCAAATCACTTTGCAGATAGGTGAAGTGGCTTGTTAGGGACCCAGCAGTAGCAGTACCTTCTGTTCATCTGTGACAACAAGGGTCTTCTCATATGAAGAATTTTGGGCCATGGGCATCACCAAGCAGAGCATTTTTGTCACGTCTTCAGATACTCTGTCACCAACCCCATGCAGTAGCATTACATGTGTTTTATATACAGTTTGTCAAAACACACCATCTCATGATATCCTGAGGATGCCTTCACCTGATTATAGCATCTCAGCTGCTTCTAAGTTCCAGCATCCCTGTCATTCATCTGGAAACCTGTGCAGAACAGGTACTTGCAAGATTGACAGCAGCAATAAGGTACCCCTCAGCCTGTGTGGACATAGAGCCCACTGCAAGGACAGGTTGCCACAGGAAGACATCCCAGAAGCCAGATGTGCTTTGAACTTTCAAGTGCCAATTAGTGGGAAGACATGAGCACAGCACACCACAGGCCATGCATCCCTGGCTGCTTACCTGAGACTTCCTTCTCCAGGTGTCACCTGCACTTTGCCCCTTCCCTTGAAAACCCATTCAGTAAATGAAGACACACATCAGAAGTAGCCATCAAGTCTCCCATGAACTATAGCTTCTCTCAGTAACTGGAAACAGGACTGTAGGAAACTGTCAGGAATGTATGTAGATCTCATGGCCCCACCTACTCACCCAAGGAATATTTGCTTAATTCATTGTGTTAGTTGTTTTTCTTATTGCTGTCACAAGATACCTGGCAAAAAAACTTGAGGAAGGACAGGCTTATTTTGGCTCCCAGTTTGAAGGCCCAGTCCATCATCGTGGGGAAGGAGAGGTGGCAGGAGCTTGAGACAGCTGTCCCCAATGCATTCACAGTCAGGAAGCAGAGGGATGAATGCTGGTTCACAACCTGCTTTCCCTTTTATTCAGGCCAGGACCGCAGCACACAGACAGGTGCCACCCAGTCTAGAAACTGACTCAGTCTAGAAACTCCTTCCCAGGCATGCATGAAGGTTTGTCTCTTAGGTGAGTCTAGATCATGCCAAGTTGGCAATATTAATATCACAGTCATGGCCAATGGCCAATTAGGAAGTAAAGTATGAAACTGAACATTGCAATCATTAGCAATGTTAGTTCTTAGTCTTTCTGGAGTTTTTCCACCATAATTGTCAAAACTAAGACTTTATACTTCCCTCTGCAAGACAGAACTAGCCATAGAACTGTATCTCTGTCTAGTTTTCAAGAGATTCCAGATCTTCGGAAGCTTCTGGTGGATAAAGAATATCACTAGATGGCCAGGAAGACCCGTCCTAGGCAGGTAAACTTTCCATAGACCTCCAAGCATGTCTGGAAGAGACATATAGCTCCTTGAGCCACCTGGAATGCCACTGGGCCTTGTGTCCCCTTGCTTCACCAGTGATGACCTGTGCTAGACCTGTGCTGTGGGTTGGGGCACAGGCAGGACACTCAAAGGAGTACTGCTGCCCTGGAAGAAGCTGAACCTTCACAACCCCAAGGGAAGACCCCAATGCAGGACACTGACCAAAGGGCACAGCTACAGGTTATATGAAATCATTTCCACTGGGTAATGGGATCTTGGTTTGGACCCAGCAGCCAAAATATCTCAGTTGTGATCCTGGCCTAATGGCCAGTGTAGGCTTCTTTCTCTGACTGGGAATTCTTTGTGTACTGATGCTTTGCAACAGCAATTTCTTACTCTGTAATGTCCAGAGTCAAGTGTGGAAGGAGGGCCAGCAACTGCAGCAGCTAAAAGCTAAGCACCTCAGACCTCACCTACAGCTGACTTCTTGAGAAGCAGTGAGTGCATTAAGGCTTGTCAGTGAAGAACAGGAGAGTACCAAATCAAACAGGACCTTTCTCCGGCTCACACAGTGGGGGCTGGTAGTTCCATAATGGCGGGGGCTGGTAGCTCAATAATGGCTGTCGGCTGTCTGCACACTGGAGAGGTTGAGAACCTGTAAGGGATATGAAGCCAGGTGTCTCTCTCAGCAGCCCTAATTAGTGCAGCATTGAAGGCCTGGAAGTTCTTGGGTGTCACTGGCATTCAGTCTATGTAGGAAGCTTGAAGAAGCTGGACACTGAGGCCAGTAGAGAATGGCACCAGAAGGGACAGGCATACTCACTCAGAAGTGAAAGCAGGTGGGCAACACTGCTTTTCCTCAGACCTCTTTATATTTGGACTGTGTGGGGTTTGAATAAGAATGTACCCACCCCCTAGGCTCACAGATTTGAATGTTTGGTCACCAGGGAATGGACTACTCGAAAGGATTAGGAGGTGTGGTCTTGTTGGAGGAAGTGTGCCACTGGGGATGGGCTCTGAGGTTTCAAGGGCTCAATCCAGGCTCAGTGGCTCTGCTGTTCCTGCTACCTGGGGATATGGATGTAGAACCCTCAGCTTCTTCTCCAGCATCATGAGCTGCCTGTGTGCTGCCATGCTCCCTGACGTGATGACTGACAATGAAGTAAACCTCTGAAACTGTAATCAAGCCCCAGTCAAATGCTTTTCTTTTGTAAGAGTTGCTACGGTCAGCCAGGGACTGGCAGCGCTTGCCTTTAGTCCCAGCACTCAGGAGGCAGAGGCAGAGGCAGGCAGATCTCTGTGAGTTCAAGACTAGCCTGGTTTACAGAGCAAGTTCCAGGGCAGCCAAGGCTACACAGAGAAACCCTATTTTGAAAAATAAAACACAAAACAAAAAACAAAGAAAAAAACCAAGTGGGATGTGCCATTTTTATTTCTTAAAGACATATCTCACTATGTAGTCCTGGCTTGTCTGGAACTTAATATGTAGACCAGGCTGGTAGCTTGGCATTCACAATGATTCACCTGCCTCTGCTTCCCAAATTCTGGGATTAAAGGGGTGAGCCATCATACCAGGCCATCATTCATCTGTGGTTTTTTTGAAACAGAATTTCTCTGTGTAACAGTCCTGGCTGTCCTGGAACTTGCTCTGTAGACCAGGCTCACCTGCCTCTACCTCCCAAGTGCTGGGATTAAAGGTGTACACCACCACCACCTGACTCAAATGGTAGTTTAAAAATGAACATTCTAGCACATTACATTCAAAGTTATACTAATTTGATACTTACAGGCTGAAAAAAGATGGTAGGGACATATCAGAAGTCTTTTCCCCTCCATAATTTAGTCATTATGTGTGTATATGAGCAAAAAGTACATACAGTACAAACTCTGGCTGGGTGTGGTGGTGCACACCTTTAATCACAGCACTCAGGAGGCAGAGGCAGGCAGATCCCGGTGAGTTTGAGGCCAGCTTGGTCTACAGAGCAAGTTCCAGGATAGCCACCAAACCTACAAAAAAAAAAAAAAAAAAAAAAAACCCTGTCTTGAAAAAACAAACAAACAAACCTCTGTATTTCACAATATGTATGCCTTGCATCTAAGGTCCAGTTTGTTTTAGGCAGCATTGTCTGGTTCCGAGAATGGCTGAAACACTCACTGTCCTGCTTAGGAGAAAAATCTGCTTCTGTTCAGGACAGATACAATTTTCAGTTTTGAATATTTCCTTTAATATCAGATCCAGAGGGCTGAATGCACACTGACAGATGATTCTGAACACCAGCAGACTACTGTGGGAGGGTCTGGGGAGGCAGCATGAGGAGTTGGGAGGGTGGAGAGGACAGCAGCTAATAGTGCCCTGGATGGACCCAGGCAGAGTTGTGAGTATGAGGGTGAGCATGCATGCAGGATAGTCCCCAGGTTTTTGCCTAAGGCACTGAGAGAAGTCTGGATGAAGTATTTGTAGGGGGGATCCAGAGCTGTGGTTTGACAGGTGCCTGGGGGACCAAAACAGCCAAGTGGAAACTGTCAACTGGACAGCTGAGTATCTGTCTGCTATTCCATGGGGGGCACTGGACCTGAATGGGTGTGGGAGTTACCAGGTAATGGGAGATGTCAATTTGAAAGTCTATAGGAAGAAGGGGACCCAGGGCCAAATATGGAGCATTCAGGTTGTTGGCAATGAAGGGAGCCACATGGTGCTGGCCAGTGTTGGAACTTTCTTTTTTTTTAAGTTACGTGCGAGATGAGCACATAACCCGAGCTTTTCTATTGATTATAGTGCTCAGTCACGGCTGATCTTGTGTTTGTGTTAGCACAGTCCCAGGTGGCTGTATTTTCACAGCACTTGATGCCAAAGTCTTGAACTTAAAAAGAGGGAACTTGCAAATGTTTCCCTGGAGAAACGTGTGCGTACTATTCTGGGCACTAATGCTTCTGTGTTCATGGAGTGGGAAAAATATTCCCACAAGGAGCTTTGGTGATAGCCAGGGCTCAAATAGGATTCTCCTTATTGCCCAGAGCCATGGCTCCTTCTGCATGGAGCAGGCAGCCTGGTTTCCCTGACCCTGCCAGAGGCCAGTTTTGTTCTGTACATATATCAGACAAACCCACACCCTGAGATATCCAGGTGTAATCCCCTCTATTCCTCAGCCCAT